GCGGAAAAATACGTAGCACCGTAAAGGCAGTCTAAGCATCGTCGATTCTAGGCAACGGATAAACATCTTTCTTCGTAATTTTGTTGAGATGCCTATAATCTACACAAAAGCGTCATGTTCCATCCTTCTTTCTGATCAGGACGACAGGAGGAGCCCAGAGGCTAGAAGAGGGTTCGATTATGTTTTTTGCAAGCATCTTTTCGACTTCCTGTTGTATGACTGTGCGCTCAGACGCGGAAACACGGTATGGACGTCGGTGGAATGGGACTCGCGTCACCAGTATTGATGCGATGAGTAACAACACTTGATCAGCTTAAAGCCGTGCTGGCGAAGTCGAAAATGTCACTATAGGTCTCCAGGACGTGACGAAGGGCTTCCGCTTGATCAGGAGCGAGGTCTGGTGGTACCATGTGGTCAACGTGGACGCCCGATGAACGTGATAGAGTTGGTTCATGGTCGGAGGTGCAGCAATCATCCACTCTGAAGGGTTCAACCGTATGGTCTTATAGAGCAGTAATTTCGGCCAGGGAGATACCTTGTGGAAGAATTCGGGTAGTGAGGGCAAAATTGACAATAGGAAGGCATGTGCGGTTTTCAACGATTGTCAAAATGATGTGCGGAACAGCGACGCCATGCGTAAGCATCACGGCATGAATTGGTGCCACCATGTAATTGCCGTCAGGTACAGGTGGTGTAGAGAAGAGGTCGATATGTGTGACACAGTTAGGTGGAAGGCGTGCGAAATCAATGCAGCAAAGGCGACATTGGGGTGAGTTGGTCAGATCAGAAAGTAGAGGCATTTCAAGGTCAAGACAGCCGGCTGAACAATCTATAAGGGCCGAGTGAGCGATTAGAAAATCCATGCCTAGAATTACTTCATGAGGGAAATTTTCTATAGCGGTGAAAAGAACAGCAGCGCTTCTATCGGCGATAGTCACACGGGCAGAGCACATGCCAATAATCGCGGCAGTTCCCCCGTCGGCGACTCGAACGGCTCGGTTCAAGGCAGGTGTGACAACTTTCTTTAGGCGGCGACGAAGAGCAGCACTCAATATGGACACATGCGCACCGGTATCGATCAACGCGCACACAGGTACATTGCTTAAAGTAACGTTCAACAGATTCCGGGTGGTCGGTAATGTTACACGAGGATTTCTTGCAGAGGTCGTCGTCAATGCAGCTTAACCTCCAGAAGCTGCACTGCCTAGTTTTCCGGTTGGGGGGGGGGGGGGGGTTGCGAATAGGTCGGAGTGGCAGGATGGCGCTGTGGGGGCGAGCGAGATTGACGGCGAGCAGGGGATGGTGAGCGGGCGTAGCGAGGTCTCGTCAGAGGTGCGGCAGAATTAGAGGGTGTGGTCGGCATAGGGGAATCAAAATCAAATGTTGAGGACGACTGGTGGTCAGAAGTGGCCTGGGTAGGAGGTCCATAGCGTGCCGGCGGAGCCCAGTGATTGCGGCAGTGGCGATAAATATGACCCACGTCGGCAGTTGAAGCATATGGGCTTGTCGTCCAGTGTACGCCATTCGGACAAATTGCGCTGTCGAGAGTAGTTCGAACCAAATCGAGGAGCGGAGGGAACGACGATAAAACAGGCTCGGTAGAGTAGACTGGTTGAATGCGGTGTAGGCCGACGTTCGATAATTCTTGACGAACGACGGCTTGTATCGGTGAGATTGTGGTCGGTGAAGGATCAGGCGTTGGAAATGGAGTAGCTGCTGGTTGGGCTGCCTCGACCTCACGACGAATGATGCGGGTGAGGTTGTCACATCGGGGAGCTGGGCGGACGGCGTCATCACAAGAGGAAGTAGCAGCTGTGTTCGGCAGGCGCGTGATGCCGTGGGTGACGCGGCGGACTTTAGCCTGTTCTAGACGGCGGCATTCTGTTAGGATCGTGTCGGTGCTCCTGACATTATTAAAAACCAGCAGGTTGAAGGCATCGTCAGCAATTCCTTTGAGGACGTGATTAACTTTTTCTTCTTCTGGCATGCGCTGGTCGACCTTGCTACAAAGCGCCAAGAGGTCAAGAATGTATGAGACGTACGATTCAGTAGACGTCTGGGCGCGAGTGGCGAGAGTCTTCTTGGCAGCGAGCTGATGACCAGATGAATCATCAAAAAGATCACGGATCTTCGATTTGAAAAGATCCTAGGTTGGGATTTCGGCTTCGTTGGTTTCGAACCATGTCCGCGGCGTGCCGTCGAGGTAGAACACAACATTGGCGAGCATGAGCGTGGGATCCCAGCGGTGGGTAGCACTGACTCGCTCGTACCGGTGCAGCCAGGAGTCAACGTCGATGGTGCCGTCAGCGGAGAAAGTTCCAGGATCCCGTAGGGGTGGCAGGGTGACGTAGGCTGTCGACTCGGATCGAGAGACCGGTGGGGATGAGGCACTGGCAGTTGAAGTAGCCGAAGAGTCCCCGGTGTTGCGACCGCTGCGCGTCTCCATCGAGGTACGAGAGTCATCCACCTCCACCAATAATGTTAGTGGTAACTTATCTAATAAATAAATACGATGCACCGTGCTCGGCAAACAAGATGGCGACAGTTCATCAACAACCAGCCACCAACGTCGTCTTTCTCTTTCTTGCAGACCGGCTGTGCCGGCTGTTGCGTATCAATATCCGGCACTGGCAGGGAAAGCTACATATATGCGCAGCGGGGAGTAGACGACGCTGCGCTTAAACTGTCAAACACGACTTGTACAGCTCCAGCGTTGCAGTAAATTGAGAGCGCTAGCAGTTTTCAGCTTCTTTGAACAACAAAAGGCGAATACGCGAATAACGAAGGCGAATACGCGAATAACGAAAACTGCAAAGAAAAAGATTCGTGGACAGTTCACTGGCTAACAAGATCCAATGCGAAGCCTGTACTTCCCAAGATTCCCATGAGAGCCAGTTAGCAGATTATCCCATGAGAGCCAGTTAGCAGAATGACCAGTTAGCAGATTATCTAGCCCACCTAGAGATAAGCAATATCATAGCGACTGATGCATCTGTGTCAAAAGAAAAGGCTGGGGTTGGCATCTTCTCTCCTTCTTTGGACTGGTCTTTTTCGATTCGACTCCCAGATTATACCCCGGTATTCATGGCAGAATTATTGGCCATTGTTCTTGCCCTACGCAAATTACCCTCAAGCGAATCATTAGCAGTTATCATTACAGATTCGTTATCAGTTTGTAATGCACTTTCTACGGCAGTAAATTCAGAGCTGATGAATACGTTTCGGCATTTAGTACCGAAAAACGTAAAAAAACTGCATTTGCTATGGGTACCAGGTCACCGCGGATTATATTTGAACGAAATGGCGGACTCTTTAGCAGCAGTATCCCTGGGTGGGCCCACCATCCCAGTTTTGCCAGATACGGCTTACGTAACCGCGCTAAGGTTCCGAAATGCATGCCTGCAATGGGGAAAAGGTAATTTGGATAAATTTAAAGATTTCGAGCATTTGAGCTATTGCTGGAATAAACAGTGGTGTGTATCTCGCCAGTTAGAGGTCACTTATACCAGATTGCGCTGTGCAGTTCCACAACTAAATTATTACCTTAATAAAGCTCAGCTCAAGGCGTCACCGCTATGCATTTGGTGCAACGAAATTGAAACAATTGAACATTTTTTTTTATTCTGTCATCGTTATTCTTATCAGAGAAAAAGATTTTTAGTAACCCCATTACAAAAGCTCGGAATACAAGTAAATTTACCAGTAATTTTATCACTTGGCGGAACTTCATTTGGTTACTGCCACAGGGATGTATGCTCCGCTGTGTTTGATTACATCAACGCAACTAAAAGATTACCATGCTAGTGAACCACTACCTTTTCAGATCTTTAGTTTATGATTCGTAGTTATGTCTTTCAAAAACAAAAAGATGGTTTGACCGCTTGCTCAGCACACATTTTTGTTTTTTGGTAGTATTGTTTTAAGCTACTTTTTCAGATTGGCTTCATTTTCAGTTTAGTTTCATTTAAGTATCCTGCCGCCCGGTTCTTGGCCCATCCCCCTTTGTGGGTAAGCGCCATCCATCAAAGGTCATCAGCATCAGCATCAGCATGAGAGTACACGATCGTTGCACCAGATTCCTTTCTAGGTATTGAATTTGAATTGAATTCCTCTCTATGCTTTTTATGAACTGTGCTTTGGCTACTGTAGTTTAATTTCTGATATTTTTATTTTCTTCCTTTCAAATAGCACAACTGGAACACAAGCATAAATATTGATTGCGCAGTGCTGCTACACCGAATGAGCAGGCCTGTCTATATAGATGACCGGTGGACGACGCGCACTAAGCCATTGATAAGGCTTGTTCCACGCGCTCCGCTGTTCGCGTTTCATTTGATGCTGATAGTACATCTTCAACGCATGTCCTCACGTCTCGATCGATTCCTGCGAACTAGCGCAACTTTCTAACTAAATTTTAAAAACGATATCGCAGTCGATCGCGCGCAGGGTCAAACATTGCCTTAGCCCCCCCTTCCCCCCCCCGCCCTCTGCGCGCAGAAAAAAAAATTGCTTAATATGCCGTCATTGGAGCAGCCCGTGGTTGCATAAACTGCAGCAAAAGCAAGAGTTGGGCTAGTTGGTTTGGGTTCTCTTTGAAATGGCGCAGTTGCCAAGTTTTTGCACAAACCTTTTCTTCAATTCATTCCTGCCGAAGAGAGCATCTGCATAGAACCACCCGCTCAGCTCAGTTGCGAACAACCCAGACCATGAATATTTTCAAGCTGTCTAGCGTAACATTTTATAATGTAAATGTAGTAACCACTCTCCTCGGTACATTGGCATTGAGAGTATAATAAATAATTTATGTTTAGCTCATGCACTTTGGTGATGCATTTGAATTAAAACTGCATGCTTGCACTCTTTTAGAAGGGCATACAAAGAAAGTGCTGCTTTTTGTATTTCCACAGCTTTCTGCATAGCCACCGATTCACCAAGTTCCAGAAGGCTCATTTAGATGTATACTGTCATAGTAAAATAAAAGTACATAAACACTTTGGATACACCTTTTATTTTATTTTTTTTCTGTTATTTGCAGCTCCTCTAAACCTGACTAGCATAGATCATTTTTTGGAGCCATCTTCTGCTTCAGTTTCTTACACTTGGATCTTCGGCAAATGTCGACTTTGCTTTGGAGCTTACAGCGCCAATTGAGAGCACAGACTCCGCAGGTCCTCCTTTGGCCAGATCCCTTGGAGGCCTCATGTAACATAAGCATTGTGAATGCTGACTCAGCATATTGCTTCCTCATCATACTTTTTATAGATAGCCTGCAAAAAAAGGGAGAGAGGGGATGAATACCCTAAAGGGCGGTGCCACCTTACAAATATTGAGGCATCACTCTCACTCCCAATAACAGTATATTTGAAATTCAAGACCACAGAAATAAAGCGATAGGGGAACAATTTGTTCCTAGATGTGATGAACAACCAGGTAAAAAGCAATTTGCCACTTTCAAATGAAAAAAAAAACAAGCTTTTGACTCTTTCATTGTGAAAAATGTGTGGCACATGATAAAGACGTGGACTAAGAAAGACAGCGGATTGTCCTGTCGCATTTCCTAATGTTCTTGTGTGCCATACATTTTCAGGGTTTATTACCAACCAAGCCTATCTTACATCTTGTTAGTTTAACTTTACATAGGTTCTCCTATAGTTCTGACACTGATATAAAAACCGGCTGTGGTATATTGACATAAACTACAACAAAATTATTGCCATCTTTTCTGCCCGAGAGTGGTTCGCACTGCCCTTCAGAATGGCACTGATCTTAAATTTTGTCAAATTCAGGCCAGATCACAAAAAAAAGGTGAGAAATGTATGTCCCACTGACTCAGGAGGGTGTTTCGAAAAGTGGGAAAACACTGTCTCATAAAGGCACTATCTCACGATTGTGTCAAGTGGTATTTTGATTATCAAAACACTGCTTTCGCTCTTCCCTTCACTCGTATCCTCTCTCAAAGCCACTTTGTCTTTTGGCTGAGCACCCCTCTAGGGGCTTTTCTGCTTGTCACATTGTTTTTTTAGGCCTCCTTGATTTAACCACCCCTCCCTTCACACACACCCACTATTTTTTACCTCGTATTAACGCAATGGCGTTAGAAAGCTCATGTCGCAAATTACACCGTCGGCACCATTGGTTGTGAGCGAAAAAATTTAGAAAGGAGCAAATAAAATAAAAAATAAAATTTTTGGTCCCATTGAGGATCGAATCTGTTCGTGTGGCAAGCAGGTGTCCTACTACAAAACCACGATGTTACTTGCAGCTGCTTCGGGAAAATACACTACCTAAATGCCATGTAGTATAAGGAGTCTCCTTAACGCATTTTGTTCGACAGTTGTCATGACGAAAACGAGCCCATTCGGCGATTTGTAGGCACATTTTGGAGGCCATCAAACTATGTGGAAAAGGACGGGATAGTGCAGCCTTCGCCGCTAAAAACACACAGGAACTTTCAGACAGCTGTAAATATGAACAACTACGTCCATCTAGTGGAAAACCATGCATATCATGCCTTTTCAGAGTTGATCAAGCAAACAGCAAACGTTAGATCATGTGCTGCCATCTGTGAGGCATTGTGAGACTTTATGCCCGTTCAAGAAAATGTTATTTCATTAAACCACAACACTTGCATAGATTTAGCTTTTCATTCTCATGAGGCCGTTAAAGAAGTGAAGTACTGCAGTTGCCATTTCACCGACCATAAGGCGATGCTAGTTGCGGTTTTCTTACCCCGTTTTCTTACCTTTCCGTCGTTTTGAAAAGATTCATCCCCCCCTCTCCACTCTCACATGGCATGCAGGTGTACGTGCGGTCTCTGCGTACCTAGATGTTTGCTGCGGGGAGGTGGCACACGCAGGAAACACAACACATGGCGAGGGCATGAATGCGATGTGCATCAGAATGAGCTGTGTGTCACAAGGAGGCCGAAAAGGAGCGGATTTTTTTTTAATTTGTGGCACACTGACGGCTCATAGTGCCATCTAGTGTGGCATCGTTGATCGTGATGGCATTTTGCATAGGATGCACGTGTTGATATCGGTGTTTGAAAAAATATTGGAGGAGATTTAGGGGCGCTTTAAGGAACTGCCCCATACAAGCACTAGGTGGGCTTCCCGTTTCTAATGGCGTCGGCAATGGCCTAGGCCCACTAGGCCGTCGAGCTGGAGCAGCCAAGCAAAGCCTGTGTCCCAGTCTTTTTGGGATGGGTAGGGTAAAAGGGGTTAGGTTCGGAGCTTTTAGCACAACCATACCATGACGAAACTGTCAGAAATTTTTCTCATATTGCTGGCACTTCTCCATGCAAATGGGGTCAAAGTGTATACTATTCCTAGGCACAAAACAGTTTTCCTATTACAACAAAGGACGATTCGCACCTCTGTCTTCCAGAGGGTTCTATTGGGTTTCGGGTATATGTGACAGCCAGAGTTGATAAAATTGTATGACCTTCTTAAAGGACTGGTAGGTCGCAGGATCAAATCCCGGCTGCGGCGGCTGTAGTGTTGATGGGGGCGAAAATGCTGTAGGCCCATGTGCTCAGACTTAGGTACACGTTAAAAAGCTCCAGGTGGTCGGAATTTTCGGAGCACTTCACTAGGAGGTCTCTCATAATCATATGGTGGTTTTGCGATGCTAAACCACAGATATCAATCAACGCAGGCTCTTTTGTAAAGTTCATGCAAGAAATGTTGATAATGATCAAATATGGTGGATTTTCCATTACAGCCTATACAACTTACTTCTAAAGTGGTCTGCGACTACTTTCTTTAATGTTTTTCACGGAGATTTAGCTAATGCAGGTCCTCCTCTACTATCGTCCTTTAACAAACTAGTTCAATAAGTAAACATTGTTGTCATGTTTATTTTGTCTTTGCATGAAACAACATGCCAGGTTTTTACCTTCTGTACTGCTACTACTCAAAGCAGCTGCAAAAGTCCGTGTAATATGTTTTAGTCGATGCACGTTTTGATGCTATACGTAATACTGGCACATTCATTTGAGTGGAGAAGGAGTGATAAGAATCAAGTTAAAAAAAGAAGGCACAGCATGGTACGTTTGTCCAAGCCCCAAACCGTGAGTCTACCGGAACAAAAAGAAAATCAGTGAGATGTTGTTTACTGAGGAGACAGATTCATGTAGAATGCAATACCACTTGAGTAATATGATAATAAAGAATGTAAATAAACAAATTATAAAAAAAATGAAAATCTTGCCAAAGGCGGGTACAAGGAAGTGCCAATTTCTTTAAATTTTTCAGAGAATTATTTTCAAAAAGCTTCGACAATGTCTATGCAAAAATAACTATGTGTGCATACAGTTATAGATGCTTATTTATGCTGCGGCCACGCCATCCCTTAATTGAGACGAACCAGTGTACGAGCATACTTTTCAGGGATTTCCAGCATTTCATGCAAGAAGCTTGTTTGGGATAGTATTCTGTTGTAGCAATTCAGCAAAATGTGTACAATTTCTATAAACAGATAGTGCCTGTAAACAACTTTGTGCTTTTTTTCATCCTAGAATAATGTTTTGATGGTGAAAGCTCCTTTTGTTGTACACTGAACTTCATCGATTTACATGTCCCGGACGGCCCCGGACGCCGGCGCCGCATTCGTTTTTTTCTGGGACCAGCTGAAAGCTCCGCTCACTGGTCTGGGATCGCTCAGACGCATGTTTCGTTTTTCACGTGCCTGGTGGCCTGTGGGCAGGCCGGATGCTGTGCGGCCATCTTAAGTTAGACACGGTAAATTTTCGATGCGCTCTTGCTCTCTCTTTGCCTTTCTGTCTGCTTCTCGCATGTTTCTGGATTTACCATTGTTTGCGCACCCAGTTCTTGGCATGGGTGATCTGAGCCACGTCGAGCATGGGCGTATTCCCGAAGGTCGGGCAAACACGCGTTATACTCGCTAGGAGAAACAGCGGTGGAACGACTGCGCCTGTCTACGATGCACACGCACTCGATTAGTTCACTTACAGTACATTGCATCACAACAGAAATAGGTATAATTAGCTACCCAACTGCTTTTTAGGTTGGAACTGGGTTAGCGTTGTGGCCTGTGTTACAGCTATGGAGAGAGCAGACGGTATAGCCTGGCATACTGACGCCACATTGAATGCAGTCAGCATCAGTTCGCGCAGATGGCCTGAGGCGGCTCGGGCTGGCTCGGGACTTTAGATCACGTGCATGTGACGTAGCCGCCTGGGAGCCGAGGTGTCCGCGGGCTGTCCGCGAGTGATCCGGGACATGGTAAATCGATGAAGCTTAGTATTCACATAAATGACTATCACAGCTTCCAAGTGATGTGTTATTGTGACAGCAATTATATGGACAGTCTCGGCTGCTGTTTGCTGTCCCTGCTGCCATCATTCACGTATATGTATGTATGTGTATATATATACACACACACAGAGAAGGATGTGCTAGCCTCCTTTTTTTGCGGAGCGAACACCACTGAGTCGACTGCGCATGCGCTCATTTCGTGAAGGAATAGGAAATGGAGACATATGGTTCTCGCGCTATCGCAGCAACGATCAGCACCCGGCTCTTGCTCGCACAACAGGTGAGAGCAGGCGAGAGCGTCTACGGCTGCACTATCAACACGAAAAAATGATGCCAAAAGAGTGCCTGGAATGGCCGTCTACATATACATGTGCTCTACACATATTAACCTGCCACCAGCAGCGACACACGACATATAGCCTTTAGTACAAGCATGCGCTGCCCACAGGAGGCGCTTCTCTTAATTGCTGTCACTACGCACGAGCCTTGTTATGGTCGTCTACTGTGATCACGCCGCAGAAAACTTGGATACTTAACAAGTGCACGTTTACTGCAAATAATGTTGCTCCTAAATATGTTAGCCTTACTTTGTAAAACATTCGAATATGTTGCTATCGGATTCACTGCCTCGCCCTTTTGGCAAAACTGTGACTTTTGATAAAGCGGTGATATTCAAATTTATGAAGAGTGTGCGGACACTGTCATACCTAGTACGCAAGCGAGGCACGTCCATTAGAAGGCGACTTCGTAACTTCTGGCCCCTTATACTATGATAGACTATGCTATACCTTATGCTCCCTACTCCTCCTAAGATCATTCCTCACCCTTGTTTTCCTTTCCCATCTTTTGCTATACTATGCACTATGCGAAGCTTTGCAATGTTGGGAGCTTCTTGGCACATATTTGCTTTTTTGGGCGCATAGTTGTAGACTTTCTGCGAACACCTCACGGGAAAACATTCCGCTGAAAGAGCTCTGCTCCAGTGTAACTAAAATCGCAGAGCCTCCGTGGAACACACAGCAGACTGTCACAGTGAAACCGTGAAAGGGGCAACTAATGCTAGTACACATGCAAGGTAACAACTAGGCCATTTTTCGTGTTGCGTGCACAGACCCATGGACACGCCACGAGTGCTGCCCTCACTAGTTCCCCACTTAATTCCTTCTTTTTTGGTAGTGCTAGAACACCAAAGTATTGCACTTATTTTAGATTACCTGACAGGTAATCTATTTTAGCTCTATTTTTGTGTGCATTTACTTGCCAGGCAAAATAGAGCACACAAAAATAGAGCAAAAGAATAAGCAATTCTGATCAAGTAAAAAGGACTGAATGCCGATATACAGGCTCCTACACAGATGGGGCTGATCTTTGGCCTTCATTTCTATTGTTGGTGTGTAACAACTAAATAAAATTGTTTTTTGTCCTCTATAGCACAGCTGAACAGACTTGTATTAGTGCATGCACATGGCTCTGTTTATATTACAGTGTGTTCTCTTTTGCACCTCGCAGATGTTGCAACAGCTGATGGTGCAAGGAGAATGCCAATATCGTCCTTTCACATATTACAACCATTCTGGAACATTTAATTTCCATCCAGAAGGGGATCGTACTTTAGTCGCCTGACCATATTATTCCTGAAATGTCAATAAAAATTACAATGTGGGTATTTGCTTTGGTTTTTATATTTAAAGATATTCAGACTGTATGCCAAGCTTATAAAACTCATATTGACCAAGCATATTCACTAAAACAAATGAGCAAGGCTTCAAAGAACAAATAGAAGCTGCTAAAAAATTTCAGTCCATAATCAGAATAAGCATTGCAAAACTCTCTCCCAAGGCCATGAATTAAAATCATGTTTTGCATCATATTTCACAATAGCAGCACACTTTGGTACAAATAGTACATGCTGAAAGTGGGCAACAGCCTGTTATCCACAGGTTTTAGTGAATCTTTAACAATGTTCGTGCATGTGGTTGTTCAGTTACAATGTCTATACATAGTAGTGTAAAAGGGTTTCACTGGAAATCTGTAGACGCTCCATAGTGGCGTGGCTGCAGATGTTCATAATCAGCTAATTTAGTGGTAATCAAAATGGTGAAGTGAGAAAATGCACCTGTTTTCTCAACAAGGCCTGCGCATAGATTGATTGTGCCACTTAAAGGTCCCCTGAAACCGAAATTTCAGAGCCAGAATCTTTTGTATTCCATTCTCCTACACACATAGGTATCTCAAACCATTTATTACATTTTTTTTTTTCGGTGTTCTTGGGATGATTTCTAGGTCCTGCTCACTGCTTACGCCAGTGGTGTTTTAAACATTCTAAAAAAGAAACAATCACTGAAATAGTGGTGAAGATAGTTTTTTTTTTTTTTTCGTGAGGGAGATTGCAAAACAGGTGCCCAGCCAGCAGCTGCAAACAAAGTTCAGTAGAGGACTGTACCTGATGCTGCATCACCTACATCATTTTAGCCTCTCAGCAAGCTATGTCACTGCAGTAGGGCCTGGCACATAGTACCGTAAAATCTCATTCATTCAAACTCTGTTAATTCAAACTGACGCTCTGGTCCTCCCACAGCCCGAAGTATTTGAATGGGGGAAAACTTCCAATAATTCGAATGCATCAGTGTCGACAAACAACGGCTAATTCAAACTGGAAGACCCTGGCTTTTTGCCACCTTCACAGAAATTGGCCTAGAATCATCACTTGAATTACTCATGACTTCCATCTGTGTAAAACAAGTGTAGTAATTGATTTCAATCTATGGTTTTATGGTAGTAAATGTAGTTTGCTACTACTGCTGTATGCGTGGCACAACCCAGTGCGGCAATGTTTGCCTTTAGCCGTGTTTATTCAGACAAATTTCAATATTGTTCTAAATAAACTAATAAAGAAAGACTAAATTTTGATTGCATTAACTCTGCCATGTAAACGAATGTGTTTAGGAACACAAATAGCCTCACATATTTTGCCACTTTGGCCCACTTCTCACATGAATGCGTCTCTGCTTGTATGTGACGTATCCCTGACTAATCAAATTCTGTTCACTGTTAGAGCATGAACTTAAATTTATGACATGACCTGCCACAAATGTGCAGTATACGCTAATTAGTGGGAACGAGTCCGAAGTTGCCTTCTACTATGGATTCTTGTCGCACCATGTGACGTGTTGTCTGCTGATTACAGTGACTGCCCGCTAAATTGAAAAATTTTATAGTCTCCTTTGACTTAGAATTTAGGAGCTTTTACTGTAACATAGTGCTCCACCGTACTTTTGTACTAATTTCATAAAATTTTGGTGGATCTTTTGAAGCAATCACTGATGCCAAAAATGTATCTCAACTAATGATGCTGGCACATTGCAGTGGAGCATTTTCAATTCAGTAAGATGATCATCAGACAAATACTTGTTACAGCATAAGAGTTGCTAACACTTGTTTGTAAGAGGTTCATTGAAGCTACCTCGCCAAGTCACCTGAACAACTCGACTACCTGAATGGAATATAGTCACTATTAGCATTTACTTAAACATGCTGATAGTAAGTTGGGTGTTCACTTAAAGTGAGAAGAATTCAGGGAAATCTACTAAAGCAAATATTTTCAAGTGGCTGTAGTCTGCATGCAAGGTGATTACGACATACAACTTCATATTCGTCGTGTGACTGTCAGCTAGGGAGACAATGGCGAATTTGCAAAAAGATGTTTCATCCTAAACATACAGAATGAAAATGCGTTTGGAGAATAGGTGCAACAGTTTATGATTCAAAGTATGAGTAACTGCTGCTGGTCTTCGAATAACTGTGATTTGTTTGTAACAGTAGTTTTGGAACCTGTAGTTGGTTGCAAGTGTCATCCGACTGTTTTCTAACGTGCTTTTTGTTGACCAAAGGTGTTTGAGAGTGCTCATCGCCACATTTGCTTTTCTGGATACCACTGATTGGCCTAGCTGAATTATGTGCCACAAATTAAGCAAGTGGTGACCTGCAATGCTTCAACATTGTGTAAGGCATCTGGCAAGCAGAGTCATTCAAGCTCAGCTGTAGTGCGTGTTGGGCTCTCACTATCCACTCAACACCTGCAGGATCCACGCTAGTGCAGCGGTAGCATCACTCCTCAAAACACAACTACATAGCACAAGTTAACGCCGATTGTTCTCAGACACTGTTTGTGGACCTGCCTTTGGATATTGTAGCAGCTCAAGAGAACAAAATAAGAACGGGTGGTAGTGTGGCGGAGCAGATTTTAATTGCCTTATGTGTTTGGTCTCTCTTGCACGACAGGCCCCGTCGTAGTGGTCTGGTGGCTAAAGTACTCAGCTGCTGACCCGCACGTAGCAAGATCGAATCCCCGCTGCGGGGGCTGCATTATTAATGGAGGCAAAAGTGCTGTAGGCTTGTATGCTCTGATTTGGGCTCATGTTAAAGAACCCCAGGTGGTCTAAATTTCCGGAGCCTTCCACTACGGCGTCTCTCATAATCATATGGTGGTTTTGGAACGCTGAACTCGACATATCAATGAATCTCTTGCCTGACGGCGCTTTCAGAGGAGCCTGACCCATCGAGCGCCCTGCAGTCGCCAGCAATGGCTGGTTCTTTGACAAGTTCAGGAGGCAAAGCAGTGTCAAAAAAGATAGTATAAATATAATTGATTGTAGCTGCCTTGATATACAGTATGTGGCTTCATTAGTGGTTAAACTGATTTAATGATCATACAGCCCAAATTTTTACAAGATTTTAAAAACTGTTTCAAAGTCCAATAAAGTCAAGTGTGCCTTGTATCCTATTTGAAATTGTGCTCGTGAATATTTTCCACAATGATGAGACAGAGTAGTCTAATCATTATACCATATGGTGAAGTGGCACACTTTTCATGTGGACAAAGGGGACAAGAAAGGCACGACATTCTTGTTCCCTTTGTCCATGTCAAAAGTGCGCTACTTAACAATACAATATAATAATCAGTCACAAACTAGCCCAGCTCTCAACCTTACTGATCTGTCTAGTAAGTTTCATATCTGCATCTCTTTTTTTTTTTTGCATTAGTAAAACCAATCGCAGTTCTGGGAACTATGCTACATTCGAATTTTGGCATCTTGTCATATGACTGTGTGCATTATCACTGGGGAATCACACTCCACGTACCTCTGCAAAAAAAGGGCAGCTGGATAAACTGCTTGGACTCTACACAAGCATGATTTCGACTGTAAGGCATGCTGGATGTAAAAATATGCGAGGCCTCTGCAGAAGGCACAGCACAGTCACAGTGAAAGCTAGAAGAACGGCCTTTTTAATCACTCATTGGATAACTGCTGCAAGCACACTTGCTGGGTATGCACTACGGTATTAATAATAATAATTTCTGGGTAGTAGAACGGCATTTGCTATGCTATTTTTCATAATTCTTCTGAGAAGCGTGGCCTTTGCTAAACACTTGCAAGGAATTTTGTGCGAATTGTTCATGCAGTGGCTGACGACGATATATTTTGCCTGAAGTGCATATGCACGACAGTTAATAGGTGATCAAGAACAAGCTTTTGTAATGAGTTGGAGCATTGGATGACCCACTGGTTATGATAATTGCATTGTGCGACGACTGGTTCTTTTGCTGTTTGAAAACATTTTATTACTCATATTAATGCGGTTGTTTTCCCGACATCAAGCCTACCTGAGGCAAATTTGCAAACAAGTCTCAAGCATCGGCGTGGCTCAGTGGTGGAATACTGGGCTGGCACACAGCGGACCCGTGTTCGAGCCACACTGTGCCCTTCGTACTAGGGTTTTTTTTTTCTTAACTTGGGATAATGATTACGGACACCGGCAGCAGTGGACAACTGCGGCCCCGCATGTGACCCGAGTTTTGATCTCATAACATCTTTTGCTGCAGAACAGCACAAAATTACAAAGACGAAGAAATGCTGCACAGTCGCCATGGTGTGCCATGTGACTAGGTCCTCTGCCTGATATATGTGTGTTCGTTATAATAAATTTTAGTTACGAGTTCAGTGCCATGTCATCTGTTCTTCCAACTGTCTTTCTGTAATTTTGTGCTGTTTTTATATTCAAGCATAGGCTACCAACTAGTCGAACTGTTGCTTTTTTGTAAGACATGTTTTAGGGCATTAAAATGTGCTGCAGTGCACCAGAATGTTGTATTGACAAGCCCAACTTGCCACTTTATTAATGAAAGAATACATTGCAGTCTCCGTTCCATTTGCTTTTTAGTTGCTGTTTTGTTAAATCGATTGAGATGGTATTTTTGTCAATTTATTAAAGTAGTTTACTCAGTAGATTATATTGAAAAATCAGATTCAAGCTGAAAGTAAACAAACTTTGAGAAGCAAAAGCATCATAGTGTCTCTGGCAGGCTTTGGTGTAAAAGCACCCGGAGGGGATGCCACAGATGTTAGCAACGCGAATTGTCCAAACAAGCTTGCATATGTTGGGCTGTAGCAAGAATAGAGGTATTGTTTATATAGCTGAACCATTCTTCTGAGCGAAAGGCTGTTAAGGCTTCATAGACTACCAGCTTACTGGGCCTGGTCCAAGGCAACCACTAGGCTCTTCAAGGCCTTCTGAGAGAGTTGCATTTCCAACGACCGATGTGGTATTGTGTTGGTCTGTATTGAGTTCACATCACTGGGACATGAAGGGCACTCGTACATAATATGAG